TTTCCTCATTTCCTTTTTCTTTTTCTTTTTTTCTTTTTTTTCTGATACTACCAGGTAAAAGCACAACTAGAGCTGATGTTTGCATATTTTTAGAAAAATGGAAACTAATTTGTAAGGCTGGACATTTTGCTGTAGATAGTTGCCTACAAATGCAAGCAGGGAGGACCTGGTCCAGCAAACACTGTACCACTACTGAGCCATCACAAAAACAGAGACAGAGACTAAGTGAACTTGGACTGAAGTCCCCTTTTGGCCTGTGCTAAGTTGGATTGTGCAACTTAAGACAGCTCAGTGGAACATCTTTGTGGGCTAGCCCTGACATTAGCGACTCTTTATGATTGGAGACTCCAGTAAGATTTCCAAGCAACATAAGACATGGATGACTCCCAGGTAGTGCCAAGCAAACTGGCATTTGTGCACACCAGCACCATCAACTGGCTTTGGTGACAAAATGAGAGTCCCCACTTGACCCAAAGAAGAACAGGGTGGGGGGGTGCAGTCTCAAAAGTAGAGACAATGTAGAAGAGACACACATAGGGCTATGTATACATGCCCAACCCTGCCTACTGCATCTCTTCAAGATATGCCCCTGTGAAAGGCAACATAGAATTGCAAAGTAGGAAATGGCAGAATGGTCCTACAGGAAACAAGGCAATTTACACACTTCCTAGTGAATTTTACCTCCCATAGTAGAAATCTGTTGGATGCTAACAAACACAGCCTACAATTTCCAAAAATCACTGACTGGGCTTTAAAAATAAGTAAAATTACCTTACAGGTGACAATGAACAAGTCTGACCCTCTGTGTCTTTGGGGCAGGAAAAGCTGTTTGTAGAAGGAAACTGAGTCTCCTTCCTGTAAATAATGATGTGGTCTTAAAGACATGTAGTTTTATGCAAAATTACAAGGGCACAAATATTTATAAACCTCTGAAATCAAGGTGTGCAGACCATATATATCATACCGACTACAGCTTACATATATGAACATGGAATCAGTACATGACTCAGACCCAGCAGGTCATATCTTCTGGAGACAGATACAGATCCCCACTCAGGAGAGCAAAGCAAGCTGATCTGAGAGAGGCCATGTCTTTCCCACATTGAACAACCACTGTAATGAGACTGAGGCTCATCAATTCAGGCTAAATAAATCAGGAACTGAAGTTACATATTGAGTTTGGGATGTAGCTACTACCTTTACCTAACACGCACAATGAGTAAGTAGAGTCTGCAGCCAGCACTCACTAGAGTTTGCACTTCAATGGGCACTGTTGATGAGACAACCATCCCCTCTCCCACAAATGCCCGGATGAACAGTTTACAACATGCAGCGTCCTGCAAAAAGCATGTCTGTGCTTGATGAACAGCAAGTATTATTTCTAATTGGTAAACAATTTGCCCAATTCCTGAAATGATCTGGAAAAACAGAAAAAAAAATTAAAAATTAATTCAGAACTCTTTTACATCTGTCAACACTTTCTCCAAAACAGAAAAGGGAAAATTTAATGTACAACAGAAAGAACAGCTAGTCTTTATACTCTTAAGTAGACAGAATGGAAGGAGGGAGCAAGACTAGGAACTACAAGTTTCCCAACAGAGAAATGAATTCAAACTATAAACTACTATTAGGCGGCACACTGCCAGGGTCTGTGTGGAAGAATTTGACAGTCTCAGATCACAGTAGCAGCTGCTCCAATAATCAATAAAATAGAGGGAGATGAGCCAGTAACAGGAGAGGCTCAGTGAGCATGAGAGCACCAAGTCCACGGTCAGGACTGTGCTGCTGCTGCATCTGTGAGACCCACCATGACTAAAGGTCTGTCCCTGGTGACTCTGATTTCGTTTATATCAAGTTCAAACTTCAGTTCTGTATGGCTCACCTGCTGGAAAATTCTACCTAGAAAAGAAAGTGCTTCACAAAAAATCCCCAGCAATTTTTTAAATCCACAATTTGAAATACCGTTTGTGTTCACAATTGTGAAAAATCTATTATGCACCCATAGTGTCACTATTTATGTAAAGAAGCATGCTCGAGTTTCCCTCCCAAATTGTTTAGCTTGTTCTTAAGAAACCAAGTCAACAGCTCACTAATGTACAAATGCCTACAATAAAAGCCAACACTCCATGACATCCAATGTGAAATTAATATGACAAATAGACACATAAATTAGTGAAATCAATATAGAATACAGAACAGAACAGAATGCATGAACAATGGCCAAGTCCTGAGGAAGAAAATATGGGAATTTCCACTCTCTAATACAAATTCCAGTGTGTCCTAACTTTTCAGATGTCAACAATTTTTAACCATGCTTCACAGAGTTCCGTAGTCTAAGTAAAATGCTGCCAAGGAAAGGGATTAACCTGAAAACACCGATTTCACTTGTCAAAATGAGTAGTTCAATCCACTGATAGTGGGTTACTGGTGACAGGACTTTGTGTGTGTGCATGTGAAAATTGAATGTTGGCCTTTCTTCTAGCATGTTCTAACAAATACACTGGGAAATAGAGAGCCCTAATGTGCACTCTCCACCTCAGCACCCATCTGCCTTCACTGAGAAGTGGTATGCACTGACCATGCCCCTTAATGCTTTAAAAATGAAATCAATATCTCACTGAGGCTATACCACCAGAAAAAAAATGTGTTTAATGTAATAGATCACTTTCAAAATGCATGTAATCAGCCTGTGTTTCCATTACTAATGTTTTGAAGATACAAATTCACGAAAATTTTTCCAGATCAAACAAATCAACTGTTTCTCTATAGCCACTTCATGAAACTGTGTTGTATGATTTAAAAGGAACAAAAGAAAAAGGGAGAGAGCACTGCTGGTTGCATTTCTATGAAGCATTTCATGGTATTTTCATACACTAAGCTTATGAAACTATTTTTATAAAGCATGAAGTCTTACATTTCTCAAGGAATCACCAACGGAAACTTGCCTTAACATTTATGTTTGAATGTTTTACAATATTGCCTCAGATGAATGAAATCCTGTTTACATTTGGTCCTTAGAAGCAGCAAAACTGATCTGAACAGCTACTAGCTCCCCACAGGATGTTAGCCCAACAAGTCCTTCTCCTTTATGGGACACACTTGACTCTTACATAGCCAAAGGAGAAACACTCTAAAGTTAAAGTAGAGGTAATGACTGTTGAGTATGATAGACAATAATTTAATTTGATTGGGTCCTGTCTTTTAGCTCTAATAATTTATTTTTGCTTTAACTTGGGGCATTTTTCTGGTATTCTTTAGTTGTGGGGGGACTACAGTTCAATCCAGTGTTACCAGAATAAACAGAGTATAAGGGAAAATGCATAAATTATTAAGTTGTTTAATTTACATGTTAATTGTAATAAGGCTAGAAAATATTTTAAACATTTAAGAATTAAGCAAACTTTAGGATAATATTGAAATGATGTTCCTACACATTTATTTTATGGTAATTTATCCACCACCCCATATAACCACTCTAATAGGAAAATCTATTTCAATTTAAATACTACAATATAACATTAAACATTACCTTCTATCTGGATGTAAACCACTATGCTCAAATCCATGTCACCACCTCTAAAATTTGCTTTTCAGTTAAAAAAATCTTAAGATTATAGTGAATAAAACAGATACATGTTTCTGCATTGTGATTATAGAGGTCATGCTGCTTAGATAAAGTATAAACAGAATGATCATGACTCTCGCAAACAGGAAACAATAATCAAATGGGGACTCTCAAGTTCTACTCAGGCAGAACAGAGAGAGTCCATATATAGTTCATTCTATGGCAAAAAGATGCTTTTGCTTGATAGGGTGATAGAAGACTAAGAGTCATAATTGTGGCATTGCTCAGAATTTCAGTCATGTTAAAGTAAAATTTTATGCGGAAACCAGTTGCATCATTTTTGCTTTATTAGCAAAATTTCAACTGGTTTCTCTACCTAAGGGTTCCATAATGGTATCCTTAAATTTGAAAGTCTTTGTAAATATATGTGTGCGACTTTAAAGTCATTGTTAAAGAATTCCTGAAGGAGCCTGTGTGTAGCACATCACTCCTGTTCACTTTAAGAATAAACTTTAAGTAGGGGGAGATGGATGGATTTTCTTTTTTCTAAGCACAAGGGTAAAGCAAAGACTGACAATGCATGTGCAGGTTGAGGAGTTCACATTGCTTACTGAACAGGAACACTTGGCTCTTCACAATCAATCAATTAGGCGGATGGGTAAAATAATAATAATAATAAATGAAAAACAAGGAGGCTTCCCCACTTCTAGATTTTCTGGAACCAGTCGTATTTACAAATTGAAATGTTTATGAAGCAAGGCAACTCCCCATGTGGCAGGGAGGACAATGTGGGAGACGGAGGTCTATGGTCAGAGCGGCTACAACTTCCTCTCATAATTAGGAAGCTATGTGTCCCTGATGGAAGGACGTTAACAAGCTCCTGCAGTTTCCACTCTAGCAAGATATCAAAGAGACCCAAAGCAGACAGCTCACTTCAGTAAAAGGATTATGAGGTCTGGTTGTTAAGGCACAGACAGTGCTTGACCACAGTCTTCTTTCTGAAAAGACTTTCTGAAACAATTAGCTCTTAGGGTCAGCAGGATTTGCTAACTGAAGAGCAAAGTTAAAGTGTGGCCCCGGAAAGCATTTGTGAAAACATACACACAAGTTTCTAGAAGAGGCCTCTTTCAGATAACTCTTACGCTTGAAACCATTTCCAAAAACAAGACTGAGAAATGTTGCTCATTATAGAAAACAGCAGATCCCATTTGGGATTGGTCATGAAAACATTTCCACCATTCACGGGTTGCTATAACCTATACAGTTAGTCCAAATCCTTCTTTTAAAAGACAAAGCCTCATAGGAACCACTGGGCATGATGCTTATAAATAAGAATCTAATACCAAAACAAGCAAAGTCACAGTCCAGCGAATATGACACATAGGGCTGGAAAAGGGACAGGCTCAGTCCAAACACAGGGGCAACACTCACATACCTTGAGGACTTCCATCGGCACCTGGGTGGCAGAGGGAAGGGTGGTGGGCACGCTGACGTTTATGGCTGGTGTCTGACTCACAGGCACTCTCTGTTGCATGAACTGGGCTGCCTGCAGCTTCTGCTGCTGTTCCCTGCGCTCCTGCTCCTGCATCTGCTCACGCATGAGTTGCTGGCGTAGCAAGATGCGTGATGTCATACTGGAGGAGCTTAATGGAGGCTTGGAGGCCCCAGGATGCTCTGCGGAACTGCTGTGGGGAAACCAGAAGGCACACACCATTTAGTATCCTGATGAGACCCATCACCTGCATCGCGGGATATCCTAAATGCCACCAAACTGGGAGGTGAGTCTGCACAGATATAATCAAGGCAAGGCACGGCACTCCATGTAATTGAAAATCAAGAGGTGACAGGATTCTAGTCATTAGGAGTTGAATTAAACAAGTCAGGCTGATTGCGTCTAGGTATTTTTACCAAATCACTTATTTCTTTTTGACATTTATGCCACACACCACTGAATAAAACACCACCATATGCAGCAACTAGAAGCCATCCATCTCAATGGCACCCAAGTCTCCACAGTTAAAAACAAATTACTTGACTTGCTGTCTTAAATAGCTAAGTCTAAGTAACCAAGGACTCCTACATGTTATCTAAATTCCTTGAAGATGTCTAATATGGTTGCTAGGAAGGAAACACTGTTACAGGAAAGATTTTTGAAGACAACAAATGAAACAAATCATTAATGAAGAAGCATCTGAACCAGACATTGATACTGCACTCCACCCCTGTTTTGAGCAAGGGACAGAAGAGAAGCTGCACTGACAACCCAACTCTTTTCCTCCTAGTTTTCTTTGTGTGTCTTTCCTTGTGACTGACTCATCTGGGCATGTCCACGGCATCAGTGTTCTGTGCTTTCTCCATGAGGTCTACTTCTAAAGGTCAGGGACTCATTCTGTTCACTATTATCTAACATGCTTAAATGCGAGGAAGGTGAGAAAAAAAAAGAGTTCCTATTTTCCCTAGGTGAGGCTTTGGGTTGCTTATCTTGCCAATTCTGTGATATGCACAGATAATTAACCTCTTTCTGCCTGGTTTTCCATACCTGGAAGAGCTGTATACCGCATTTTCGCTATTTATTAAAGTGGGCTTATATTCTTTAAGTATCTGTACCACTGTACTGTACCACTTGTATCAAAAGCCTTCCCTCCTAAGGACTTACTGGTGTTGTGAGAGTTAAATACAGCAGTGCCCATAATCCCCACCTACAATGATCATTGCCCTGCTATATGTTTATGCTTGCAATTATTATCATCCAGTATAGGAATCAAACTTAATTATAATTATTCAAATCTCTATGCAACCTTATAAAACAATATTTTGGCTTCTGGAAAGAGAAAAATATGAATATTTGCATCCATCACACTTTAGGAATGGCATCTAAACTTAACTTGCCTCTTGAGCACAAACCCCACACTGTGTTTACCTTCCTACCACAGACAAAAGTCCTGAAGCCCCTGGCTACCTCTGTGAATAACCAAAGGACAAGTAACAGGTGTGCTGCAGGACAAAGATTTGTGTCACACTATCACGTAGTCCCCTAAACAGCCCAGAAGCTTATTTTCCATACAGAAAGTCAGTAAATTATAATAATTCATAAAATGTAATATCATGCATTCACTAAAATGCCATAAAAACAAATCTGCTGATATGAATAAAATTATACAATAGTTTTTAAATCCAGGTGAAAAATATCATTCTAGGTAGTATCCAATTAAAAAGCAAACCATGTTCATGACAAGAAAAGCATAATGATAGTGTATTACTATTATCCTTTATGAAAATTACATCTAAAAGCTAAAAATAAATTATTCATTTTGTTTCAGAAAGTTCCTTGACATGTAATTGTTGAAAGAACTCAAAAGTGGAAGAATTCACAAATATAAAGGCTTTTAAAGATTTCAAAAATATCCGGAGTCACCTAATTTTCCCTTCAAATGAGACCATAGCTAATTAAGTAAATTATGACATGAATTCAGCAACATAGTACCTTATTTCTTTAAAAATGCAAACGGAACAGCAAAGTAGGATATGCATGCAGTAAGCATAAGTCACAAATTTGGATTCCAATATGCATTTACAGGCTGATGCAGAGTAAGCCCAGCATGTGTGTGTAAGTGCACAAAGTGCCTAGCAGGGAATGTGTAGGACAACAACATTTGCTTGAGTGAGGATCAACTCAGGAAAATCAATTGTCTTTTAACTTTTCTCCTTTAAGCTACAATAAAACTAAAGTATTTTTTTCAGTGGCAATATATATGCACTAGACACTACAGAAAGTGGCAAAATGACAGGGGATCAGCATCACCACTAGGCTAGAAGAAAGGTGACTTGATCTATCAGACAATATTTCAACTACAAGAAGGGATTACAGTGTCCTAATCCAGGGTATCAGCTCTTCTGGGTGTCTTCAACAGCCCCACACATAAAACATCTTTCTTCTGCTGTTTCTCTTGCATTCCCTATAAATACACAGAACACCGAGAGAGTGGCATCTACACTTTGCTTATTATCTTAACATTGTACATTCCTCCACACAACCAAAAAGCTCCCCAACCATTCGTCGGTCTGTTCATCTAAAATCATCTATTCACTGCCAAAAAGAGCATCCGAAGAAAATGTATTTCCCACTTTGGAGTGCGTCTTCAAAGCTCAAATGTACTTTCCTAAGCCAAGAAAAGATGGGAGGTGGCTATTTAAAAAGAAACAAGTGGTCTGGCTATTCAAAGCCTGTCAGGTACAAGCATTCTCAGAGAGAATGATCCTTTTGATAAAAACAAGAGCCAACCTTTGTGTGGGTGCAAATGGAGCTGTGGCATAATCGTGCTAATTAACTGCACAAGACAACCCACTGGCTGCAATACCAGGGGAGGGGAATCCTTTCAATTAACAATAAAGCATCCCAGAGACAAATTAAAATTATTAGTGAGCAACCCACTAAGGCTTCATACTTTAACCTCAATAACAAAACCATTTAAAGTAGCTTCTATAATAGTCTATCAGGAAAGAAACAATACAGACCTGTTCAATAGGACGATACGGATATGGGGAACCTTATGAAAGAAACAATAGTAAACATAGTTTACATTTATAGAAAATAGAATAAAACTCAGCCAACTGACATTTTAACAAGGCTTCTAAAGGAGGTAGGAAGCATTGGGGTTATTTCACTACATACACATGCCCTGTAGGATATTTCCACATTGTGGGACATGACTACCAGATTCTCAGCTTTGGCTTGCCATCTTTTGAGTGTCCACTTATCTTAGAAACAACTAAATCCACAATTATAACCTCGTAGACAAAGACAGACACAACTAGAATATAATCCACTCACAGAACAAGAGAGCATGGTTTGTGAGTTTATGAAAGGGTTAGTAAGGAATGAAAGCTTAGCTAATGAATATTCCAAGTGGCTGGAATGGCTACTTTTAAGAAGGGGGGCTTCCTGACAGAGCCACTAACAACATATATCCAGAGATACCGGAGTGTATCTAATTTTAATAGCTAACTGGGCTCATTGTTGAGCCTACAAACCTCAGCTCTAGCTAGATAATCCTAATTCCATGAGTATGATTCCTTTTAACCCGATTACGTGAAGTTCATTGATTCAACAAATAATGACTACCAGGTGCTAGGGACACCTGGCTTCTAACCCCACAGTGAAAGCCCTGGCCACACTAATTCTCACAGATGCCTTCAGAAGAAGTCAATTGTCTAGACTTCTGGATTCTGATCTAGTTCTGCATGGAAAAGTGTATATTACTCTTCTCAGAAAGAAAATCCCATAGGCATGGCTGCAAGTGCATTTGCTGACACTGGCCAAACAAATTCCCTGAGCGTGAGACTTCCTCCATGCTAGTCAAGGAGGAGGCCACAAAGTGGAATGGAGTTGTACTTCCTATTCTAATTTACTCTTTATTCCTTTATACCACTATATTCTATTTCTTCTTCTTTGGAAGAAGTGTCAACTCTTTCTCCCTGGTACTTAACTATCTACCCAATCTCTATTGCTAATCAAATCAGTTATACGCCACAACCTGACAGTAAGACCTTATTGTCAAGGGCATTATATTCTTATGTCATTAAATATGAAGAAACCGAACTGGTACTCAGTCCTCCCTTCAAGGCTAAAGGATCTATTCAGAAGGGCAAAAAGATTTTAACAGACAGAGGTGGTGGACAACTGCAGGAAAATAGTATTTTCCAGATACAACAGGGCTGATGCACACATGAACTCACAGAGACTGTAATAGAAATCCACATAAGTTCAAACCAGACAAAAGTCCCAGCATGCAGAAGGGGATGTAGGTGCAAAGCCCCATGGCTGATCAAGAAGCTATTGCAATTGGTAGTTTCCAGGGAAGGGAAAATCTGTTTTCTCCAGTTGAGTGACACTGGGTATATCAACCACACTCCATGGAAGGCTGGATGCCCAGAAGTAGAAGGCCAACTCAAAATGGACTCTCTGGGGGTGTGTGTGTGTGTGTGTGTGTGTGTGTGTGTGTGTGTGTGCTATTTTGTTTATTTTGACTTAGGGTTTCTTTTTAAGAGAAGGAACAGAAGTTGTGTAGATAGGGAGGGGGAGGATCTGAGAGCGAAGAAAGAATATGATCAAAAATATTACATGAAAAAATTTAATTAAAAAATTAAAAACAAAAAGAGACGTCATAAGCCAACATGTGAACTTTGCTATTTCCTCATTTTATCACCATAACTTATCTCCATTTTGCACAGACACCACTAGGGGTTGACACACTCTTGATGCCTGGGACTTTTACAGGAACTCCCCTCTGAGGCAGACCACTGGAAGTATACAAAAGAGGTGAAACGCCACACTTAAGTTTCTGTTCTTCAAATGAAGCTTCCACTAGAACACACACTCCATTTTTTTCATGTTTTAATTCTCTCTCTCTCTCTCTCTCTCTCTCTCTGTCTCTCTCTCTCTCTCTGTGTGTGTGTGTTGTGTGTGTGTGTATGTGAACACATGCATGGTCATGTGAGCACCTGTGGAAGCTAACGGCATTAGATTCCTAAGATAGTTACAGGTGGTTGTGAGCCACCTGTTTGGCGTTATAGACACTGAACTCAGGTCTTCTGACAAGCACTCTTAACCTTGGAGCCATCCCTGAGCCCCACACTCTCCAATTCTTGCTCATTCTGTCCAATGTGGATTTTCACTCACACCCAA